CAAGCAAATAGGTAATATGGAACGCCATTGGTGACAAAATCGATTTAAAAACAAAGATTAGGGACTGGAGCCCAGTCTAATTTCTGACCTATCAACAGGGTAGATTTTTTAGGCTAAACCAATCAACCTACAGTATGCTGCATAGTTACTCTGTGGGCAATTCAGCTATAGTAGATTACATCAAAGTTAGTCACATAAGGGTAGCAATAATAAATTGGGCAGTAAAATTGGCTAATATAGGGGACACATTCAGGCTATGTTCTCACACGGCTGCTAACCGTTAGCTGCTGTGCGTCCATGCTAGAAAATCCCAATCCGGATACCAACAATATGATGATCGAATCACTGGCTAATAAGAAACTGGAAATTGTAAACTTGTACGTGTGATTATTTGATGATAGAAACGCCCTCAACTTGCTAACTGATAGCGCTTGCTAACCGTTAGCGGTATCCGGATACCGTTAACAGTTAGCGCTAACCGATCGGGCGTTCTCACGCCCGATCACGCCAAGTGCTAACGGTTAGCGCTAACGGTTAGCTTCCTATCCGGATACTAGGGCTCTCGTGAGAACCAGGCTATACTTTGGTAATAAATTAGCCTGTATTGGATACAGACAATTTACTTTGAAGAGTTAAAATTACATATCAATTGATAACCAGATCGAAAACCTGAACAACTCAAAAAGTGCTGTGCATATAAGATTTGAACATAGCACCCTGAGATAAGAAGGCAACCACCTTTAACACCAAGCTAGAATTCAACTCAAACTTTGCAATTTTAACAAACCTTGATCGTATTTGAGGACTACTCCTACGAGGTCATCCAGGATGATCTCCTGTACCTTCACAAAATTTGTGTCCGTCATAAAATATGATTTGTTTGGGTCGGCTTCTTGACCGAAGGCAACATGGAACAGCTGTGTCTGGCTCTACAATAAAGAATGGTTACTAAATAAACCTCACTTTTTTTTCACTACTTGAGATGTGGAGTGCCACAAATTAAGCATGCCCAGTGTAATACAAAAATAAATTAAATTGAAAATATCTTTTCTTATTCTTTCATATTATAACAGCAAGTGCAGAAAATAACACCATCCAATGAATTTGATGGACAGGATAATTGTGTCAAGATGAGTAAATTTAAATAGTGTAATGAATTTAGTACCTGTAGGTTGGCG